GTTTGGAAAGGCGGTGCTGAGCTTTGGAAGACCCGTCGTGAGCATTATTTAGAGTCTGGGCTTCAGAACCAGTCTCCTCAGTCCCAAAGTGCTCCGATGTGTGCGTTTGCTGTGTGCGCAGGAGAGCCCCCGGAGAGCGCAGGGATCGCTCCCGCTGGCAGCATCAGCGCCCAGAGACAGCTTTAGGATTGTTTGCACTGGAGATCACATTGCCAGTTTCCATGCTTGTATCTTTACCTACCCTTATCTACAGCTTTACTGGGTTTTATACAGCCACACACTCAGACTTTCCTCCCACCGGAGCAGAGGTGCTGTGGCAGGGATCCCGGCAGAGCCCCGGTGTTGGGCAGCGCTCCGGGATGGCTGCGTGGTGCTGGGCTGCGTGTTCGGGTGCTGCTCATGGAGGCTGGCTTTGCTGGGCTGCAGGATCTGTTCTGGTGCTGTATTTCTGCGGGTTTTAAAAGAAATGAGGAAAGCTGCCAGGGATTTGGCACTGTTTAACAATGCAATTTATGATGGCTTTTTTATTTAGTTAATGCAGATAAAGAGGCTCTGCTAATGTGCCTGTCCATTAATATCACACATCTGTATATGTTTTATGATTAATTATTTTGTATCCTGGAAACTAATGTTCAACTGAATCCTTCAATTATTTAAGAAGAACTGAGAATAATGTTGATCGGATACTACCCAGGACAGGTATTTCAGAGAAGATCGTTTTCTTGTTTTTGATTCAAGACTTTCTGAGGAAAGCAGCCTTGGCTGTGAACGAGCTTTCTGCAGAATGCTTCCGTCTCTGCAGTGTGTCTCTAGTAACATTTTTTTTATTCTAGCAAAGGGTGAAGGCTTTCCAGCTGACCAGCATGTTTAAGAGAGACTTGAGACCTGACTCTTGGTTCTTCAGCTTTCTGGTGAGTTTTATAGTAATTTTTGTAATTTGAGTATTTGAGATAATATTAAAGCTTTATCTGAATGTGACAAAACATCCTTTCCAACAGGTCAGCAGTCTGTCCAGGAGTCTCCTTGCCTTTGCAGCCCTTGCCCAGAATCAGACTTCTAAAGGTTAGTGTTTTTATGAGCACTTCTGTGTGTTTTTACAAGCAGTGTTCAGCACAGAGAAACAACACATAGAAAGGTGTCCAGTGGAAGAAACAAAGGTAAATAAACTTTTACCCTATTTTGTGCCTGGAGTGATATTTGCATAGGTGAGTATTTGCTCAGCTGGCTGTGAAGTGGCTGCCTAAAATCAGGTGAGTAGTGCTCAGCTGCTGGTCTTTGTGCTGCTGGTCTTTGTGCTGCTGCAACTGCAAACAAACAGGTTACTTTGTGCTTGCAAATAGCATCTGCAAATACAGAAGCTGTAGGAGCTGGGAAATGGGGATAAAATGAGAAAATTCGCTTGTACATGTCTGCTTTGAACAAGCTGCCCAGCTCCAGCCCTTGTCCAGTGATTCCATTTGTGAGCAGACTCACGGATGTCCCTCACTGTAGCTCGAATGTAGTCTGGACTTTCCTGCCACACTGTCCCCACTGAGCATCCCAGGAGCTGAATGAGGAAGTGAGCTCCTGCCTCCAGCTGCTCCGGGTGCACCGGGCAGCGTCTGTGGGTGCCTGGGGATACTGCAAGAGACGGACCCCTGTAGTGTACGTGGCACAAAAGTGGGGTGGAGAAGCTCTCTGGTTCTCCTCATGGTGTGTGTCTTTCTCCAGGTTTTGCTCCTGTCACGATTGAGACCTCAAGACACATGTACGAATATGTGGCCACTGGTTTGGACTGGTGGCACGCGCACCGATACTGTGACCAGCGCTTTGCTCAGCTGCTTTTTGAACCCCAGGACAGCGAGCGAGCTTCCCTGAGCAAACTGCTGCAGTCCCACCGCATCAGGGGCTCTGTCTGGCTGAACGAAAGAGACGGTGTCCTGCGCAGACCCAGCCGGAGACGTGAGTGTTGGTGGGCTTGGGCTGGTTGGAGACATGGCACTGCTGGATCTTTTTCATCCTGAAAAATTAATCCAGCTGCAAAGGCTACCACTCAATTTTTGTTGTCACTGTGGTACCACATAGGACCTCCAGTTGCAGGCTGGGATTGGCAGCGTGAACACCAGTGATCCCAGCACACCAGCTGCCCAGCACTGTTGGGATTGTTCAATGCGTTGCAGCAGAAGGGGGTTGCAGAGGGGCTCTGTTCTGTCCTCCCATCCCAGCTCCCCTCAGAGCAGCTCTGCCCTTCCCCAGCTCCACGTTTGTCACCAGTGGGTCCTGCAGGGCAGTGACGTTAGAGACAGGACCAGGGGAACGGGGGTTCCCCAGCAGCAAGGCACCGATGGCAGATGCCCCCATTTGACTCTGCTCTTGGTTGCTGTAGTGTGGGACGCTTGGGAACATGCTGTCCCCTCCAGATTCAATGTTTGCAATCCTGTTTGCTGGAAACCCAAGTTTCTGCAAATGACACTTGCTGAAGTGATGGGATCTCAGCTTGCCTGCCTTCCTGAGCCCCTCCAGGCACAGGGGAAGCAGAAGCCTTGCTGCGTGCTCACAGGGTGTCCCTGCCTGCAGCATCCCTCGGTTCTTAGCTTGAGTAGGAGGCACATGAAGTGATGGTTTCATCCCAGGGGAAAGAAGCAGGATTTGGCCCATGCTTAATCCTTTATGCTGGCTGAAATTTCTCCCTCTAGGGGACCACATCGTACCGGTCCTAGTATTTGGAGAGAAAACAGACACGAGATACGTGAAGGTGCTCCATGACTTCCCAGCACTGCCTGCTGTCACAGCCTGCGCCCACCTCCAGTGGGACACCAGGACCCAGGAGATTGCTACCATCTTCTCCTATGCTGTGCCGGCTTTTATTAACGAGTTCCAGCTCCGTGGCTTTGTCGACGAGGAAGGATTTGTTCGCTTTGCTCTCATAGTCCACGAGCACCATTCCCCATACCTGCCCGTGTTCCGTGCCGATGGCCAGTGGCATCACTTCTGCGTGACCTGGCAGCAGGAGAACGGGACGTGGGCCATCTATGCCGACGGTAAAAGGAGGGCGTCTGCCAGCGGTCTGTGTGCCGCGGGGCCATCAGCCCCCCAGGCCATCGCCGGCCAGGGGACGCTCATCATTGGGCAGGATCAAGATTCCCTGGGGGGCACCTTCCGGGAGAAAGAGTCCTTCAGCGGGAACATCACCGACTTGCACATCTGGCAGAAGGTCCTGGGCGTGGAGCAGATTGAGAAGGTTCGGTCGTGCTGGGTGGTGGAGCAGGACCTCGTGTTTCGGTGGAGCTCGGACGCTCTGGAGGTGGAGAGCACCGTGCAGGAGGTGACCGCGCGGCTGCTCTGCCCAGGTGAGTGTCACTGCCCTCGCTGCTTCAGCCCCGTCTGCAGCGGGGGGACAGCACGCAGGGACAGCCGAGGAGCCAGCCTCATCCTTCGGGAATTTGGTGCAGTATGGGGAATGGTGCTTCTCCTTTGGGAAGGAAAGCAGAGGCATGGGCAGAGCTGGGCTGGGCAGTTTGCAGACCGTGCTTAAAGACTTCACCGACCCCTTGGTCACTGAGGGCCCCTGCAGTGACCCCAGCACAGACAGCTGTCCAGATGTCCTGGGCTCATTGCAGGTTTTCTTTCTACTGAGAGGAACGGCGTACCTGCCAGTGATGGTGTTCCCCAGGGTTTGCACACCCGGTGCAGAGAGCAGGGACGCAGTCTCTCGGCCAGGCTGGCGTGATGTTTCTGATAAATCCTGAACTCAGACCTGGCACTGCCACCTCCTCCAGCTCCTTCCAGAGGGGATTTACTGGGTGGGTCAGGAGCAGATTCTGAACCCAGCCCCTGCTCTGGCTCTGGGGCTGCTCAAGGAGCAGTCACAGCTTCTGTCCACAGCGGGGTTTGGGGGTTGATGACAGGAACGTGGTCCCTGCTGGGGACAGCGGCTCTGGGGGACCCGGCCCCTCTGTTCCCGTGTGTTTCC